TGTTTGGCTGTGTATGACCAGGCCCCTCTTGTGTTCACAACCTCCTGGTGAGCACGGAGATCAGCATGCTACTTCCAGGCCCTACTCATTCCCAGGGTCGCTGATTCCAAGCACTGACGCAGGGGATTTCGCCTTTCTCCTTTGCTTTGAGCCCCTCACTCACCCGCAAATGGGAGGAGGGCCTCTATGTCCACTTTACAGAGGAGAAGACAGAGGCTCCAGGAAGTTAATGCCTTGATCAGGGGCCCAAATGAGGGGGAGAAAGGCCATGGATTGTATCGTCACAAACCACGCAGGAGGATCAGGGTCCAAGTGGCTACTGCAGCATGAAGGGGGCTTCCACTGGGATTTGGTGACGAGACACCAGGGCTGGAGCCTGGCTGGGTGTGCAAAAGGATCCACGAGACACTTTGTAGGTGAATAAGTGCTTTTGGGTAAGGACCGGTCGGTGGTTAGGGCCAGCAGTAAGAGCGTGGTCCAGGGAAGGGGCCTCAGAGTTAGCAGATAAAAATGCAGGCTCCTATAGATTCTTAAAGCTTTTCTTTTTAGGGCACTTCTGGATTCACGCAAAGTTGAGCAGAAGATGCAGAGATTTCCCACGTACCCCCTGCCCCCACACGTGTATAGCCTCTCTCATTCCACACCGCCACCAGAGCGGTGCGTTTGTAACCATTGCAGAAATGACACTGGCACGTCATAATCACCCAGGCTCCACAGTTTACATTAGGGTTCACTTGCAGAGTTTCTCTGGGTTTGGACACATGCGTAATGACACATATATCCATCTATATAGTAACGTGCAGAGATGTGACTTCCTCTGAGCTCCTGGCTTTTTATACCCTGCCTGCAGGAGACCTTAGGGAGAGACACCTTTCTGGGCCTCACGCTAACGTTGGTCTTTGCTGGCCTCTGCTGGGGAGGGGGGGGGGCTGTCCCCTCCCTCAGCTACGGCATGACTTTTAACTAAAACTATTGATTCCTCTATGGATTCATCCAAATCTTTTCAGGACCTCGACAGTCAAAAATTTGGCTGCACCCTTCCTGGGTTATTTTGTGCCTGCCCTTTCCCGAGCCAGTCAGCTTTGGCAGATCTAGATCTCTGAGAATCTAGACCTCTGCTGTCTGATACCGCTGGCCGCTGGCCGCTGGCCATTTGTACCTTTTGAGCACCTGTCTGAATAAAGATGTGCTCTGCATGTAAAATACACGAGGTTGATTTTAAAGATTTAAGATTTTAAAGTACCCCCCAAATGTAAAGGATCTCATCAATAATTTTTTATTGATTGCATGTTGAAAGGATAATATTTTCGAAATAGAAAATAAAGCATATTATCAGAACTCATTTCACCTGTTTAGTCCCCCCCTTTTCCTGGTTGAGCTGGTTGAGCGTCCGACTCTTGACTTCGGCTCAGGTCATGATCTCACGGTTCATGGGTTCGAGCCCCCCATGGGGCTCTCCACTGATGGTGCAAAGCCTGCTCTCTCTTCTCCTCCCCCACTCTCTCTCACTTTCTGTCTCTCAAAATAAATAAATACACGTTAAAAAAATAAATTTCTACTGGATAGTGCTGGTCTAGATTTAACAGTGAAAGGGCTGCAAAGGACAAAGGAATGACCAGGAAGGAGAAATACGTTGTGCATAAGGCGCTGAAGGCTTTCCATAGCCCAGCTCTAGCTCTGTCTTATATTCCCCACCCTCATCCACACCATACCCAAGCCAGACTGTCCATGAATCACAAACACATACAGGACCACCCGCCTTGCAGGCTTTTCTTGAAATGGACATTCACCTGCTTCAGGACCCCATTCACAACTGACCTTCTCTGGGAAGAAAGGCTTCCTTCTGCCCACCCACCCCAGCCTAACGAGCTTGTGTGTCTGAACACTGAGTATTCAATAGGACCCCTTGCTGTGACATTTGTACTGTTGACTATTTTTTGCACACATGGCCTGAGAACCCACACTCATTATGCTAGAGAGGCACAGCTTGCCTTTGGGGCTCTCCCACGTCTCCTCTATGTTCTATGATCATAGTTATATGATCTTTGTACTCCTCCTCTTCCTGTGAAAGCCCTGCCCAGGGGCAAGTGAATTTCCAGGCACTCAGTAAATCCAGGGACTTTGAGCAGTGCCCTGTGGGGCAGGTGCATTACTGTGGGGATAACCCTGAAGTCATCCAACAGAGAGGAAGGACATTTCCATCCCAGAGACTCTAGTTTGGTTCAATGCTCTTTGAAGACACTATAAAGTCATATCCTTGAGACTAAATCTTCCTCCTGAAAGATACTTGGAAGGTCAGGAAGGGGTATATGTTCTGGGTGCCTGCTGCCTAAGGCTCTCCTAATAGCAGAACTTATGTGTGATGTTTGCTACATGTCAGCCACTGACTGGCCTCAGTGTGTGACATATATCTCATTTAATCATCAAAAAATCCTATAAGGTATACGATTTCACCTCCATTTTACCGATTGGGAAACGGAGGCACACAATAGCCATGTGACTGCTCCAAAGTCACTCAGGATGAGAAAGATGAAATTTGAATCTGGGCAGACAGTCCCAGGGTTGGGGGGCTGGTAATTCAGAGGACCCCACTACCAGACATCTGGGCCCTACAAGAAGTCGGTCACACAAGTTTGGGGTTACCCTGCATAGAGTTGCCAGAAAAAATGCAGGGACCCATTCAGTTAAATCTGAATGTCAGTTAAACAAATACTTTTTTAGTATAAGTATATCCCTAAAGGGCACCTGGGTGGCTTAGTCGGTTAAGGGTCTGACTCTTAATTTTGGCTCGGGCCATGATCTCATGGTTTCTTGAGTCTGAGCCCCGTGTCAGGCTCTCTGTTGGCAGCATGGAGCCTGCTTGGGATTCTCTCTCTCTCTCTCTCTCTCTCTCTCTCTCTCCCTCTCTACCCCTCCCCCACACATGCTGTCTCTGTCTCTCCCAAAATAAGTAAATAAACTTAAAAAAGAAAAGAAAAAAGGATATCCCAGGGAGACATGGAGAAGAAAGAAGAAGGGGCAAGCCCTGCATTGGATCGAGCATTTGCACTAGAGGCAAGGAGTTTTAAGCCAGATATGACCGAGAGGTACTGGATTTTCAAGATTGTCAATGGCTACCAGTGACCATGAAGGCTGAAGAGGCGGTGAGAGGAAAAGAGAGTTGTTGATCACACAACAAAGTCTTGTGGCCACGTAAGAGCATTCGGTGTAGGCTCCAAGCAGTGGCAGCTCCCAGCAGAGGCGTCAGACGAGCCTGAGAATCAGAGAGTGCAAGATGGCGGACCTCTGTTGTCCACGTAAAACTAACGGGCGCCAACTTTGTTCAAATTTTTAAAAAGTTAAAAAAGAAAAGAAAGAAAGAAAGAAAAGGCCAGATGTTACCGTGAAGACGAAAAGTTTTCATTGGCATTGACCAGGACCAGCCACCTAGTGCAAAATGAAGATATGAGGCCCCTCGTTCACATATACTGAGGACTTCAAGATGCAACAGCAGAACACTAAACCAAGGGGGGCTCTGTCCGGGGTGGTGGGGGCACGCTGCCTGCTCGGTGTTGCTGTGTGTCTGTATCTCCCTCCCCGCAGCCAGAAATTCGTGAGCTTTGGTCCGAGAGAGAGGCGAGAGATTTTCTTCTCCTTGGTGAAGGCCTCGCTTTCTGGAACCAGCAGAGAAACCGAGCAGGCTTTGGGCAGGGCCGTGATGGGGGCCCACGACTCCGGCTTCCCTTGGGAGCAGGTGACGTGGGCTGACTTTCCCTCCCCACCACTGGAAGGTGGCAGGGTGAGAGGACAAGAGACAGGTTGCAACTTGGCTCCGGAGGCCACAAGAAGAGGCCCTTCTTCCTACGGCATTCCTGGACAATTTGCCTCTGGTCCTGCGTGCTACACATTCCCTGGCTTCCTGGCTGCTGAGGCTGGTGGGGATGTGGAGGCTCCAATCACCACCGGCTGATGACCAGCAGCGAGGCCTCTGAAACGGCAGAGCCTGCCACAGGTGCCCAGCCAGATTCTGTCAGTCGAGATGTGCAAGAATGGGGCTCGGGAAAACAGGAGTCAACTTCTCAGATTCTTGGTGATTCCATCTGGAGATTGAAACTGGGTTAAAACGTGCCAGGGGTCTGGAGCCCATTGAAGGTACCCAAGTGCCACTTGCTATTACCATCATTATTATTTATCATCACTAATCCTCCCTCTCCTTGGACAGAGCCAAGGCTCTCCTTGATTCTGTTATTCACTTCTGTGCCTCCCACATCCACTGAAGCTACTGGCTCAATGAACATTCAATAAATGTTCTTTTTTTTTTTTAAAGTTGAATTAAAAAACATCTCCACAAAATCATCAGCAAAAGTACAAGGATACCGATAAAGTAAAATGAGATCGTTCTAAGCATCTATACGGCTTTTCTAAAAAGATGATGAAGGTAGCAGGTTAACATGACCATGACATCCTGGCTGTTTTTTCAATCTTTTCAACAACTGGACCATGACTCAAAAGAAGAGACCCCAAGCTCCAAGGCTTGGGCACATTTTACAGCTGGGACTCAGCTACTATTTAATTTCTTAAAAAAAAAAAAAAATGCTCCCTTTGGTTAGGGTGAAGTTTGCTTTGTTTTATGTAACTGAAAGCAAACAGACACCAGCTGGTTTTCCTGGAGAGGACCCAGGACGGCAAGCGTGGACGCTGGTTCCCATTCACTCCAGGCTGGAGGGCCCCCAAACCAGCCTCGAGAGGCAGGCGTTTATGTGACCTTCAATCTCCAGGCTTCACCATTTAGTGGCTCAGTCAATCCTGGCCATGCAGTCTCAGGCACCACTTTCTCCATGGAGAGCTTGCTCCTTGTCAATAATCATGTGATAAAATTGTAAGAGAGAAGTGGAAGGCTGTGGGGCAGTAGTTAGAGAATGAGAGAATGCCATAGAGCTGTCTGTCCCGGTGTACTTAATGTTAATTACATGTGTTTTTCATGCACACAGACTCTTCAGAAGGGAAAGGTGGGCAAGGTTTATGGAGTTTTATATATTCCGTGCTCCCCCCACAGGGCCACATATTCCAGGACAAGCAAGGCATTAGCATTTTCCTAATGTTTTCGCTCTAGATCCACTTAATTCCATTTGCAAGGTGGGGGGGGGCATGTTGTGTGCCTTCAGGTGATGTAGAAACTGAGGCTGGGTTCTTGGGGTCTTCACTACGGGTTAAGTGAGTTGCCCAAGGTCACAGAGCTGGTTTGCAAGAACAAATTGGTACTAAGATGCCCCTCATCTGCCAACGCCACGGGCAGTGATTCTTGATCCAGGGAGATTTTGTCCCCAAAGGAACACGTGGCAATGTGTGGAGATGGTTACGATTGTCACAGTCTGGAGGGATGGGAGAGCGCTACTGGCATCTGGTGGGTAGAGGCCAGAGCCGCTGCTAAACTTCCTGCAATGCTCAAGACGGTCTCCGCTCCACCACGACAGCACAGAATTACCCACAATGTCAAGTGAAGAGAGTTAGAAACTCTGCAAGGTCAATAGAGAAAGAGGAGCCTCTCTGACTCCTCTTTACGTGTGCACATGCGTGTGCATGTGTGTGTGTTTGTGTGTGGGGGTGTGTTAAAAAGAAGTACTAGGGGTGCCTGGCTGGCACCAGTTGGTAGAGCCAGTGACTCTTGATCGTGGGGTTGTAAGTTTGAGCCCCACGTTGCATGTAGAGATTACTTAATATCTTTAAAGAGAGAGAGAGAGAGAGAGAGAGAGAAATACTAGATCAGAGACCAGAAGGGAGCATTAGAAGTATGCTAAGCTCTTGCTACTCAAAATGTTGTCCCTGGACCAGCTCAGCTGGGAGCATGTTAGAAATGCAGACTCTTGGGGGACCTGGGTGGCTCAGTTGGTTAAGCGTCTGACTTCGGCCCAGGTCACGATCTCAGTTTGTGGGTTCGAGCCCTGCGTTGGGCTCTGTGCTGACAGCTTGGAGCCTGGAGCCTGCTTCGGATTCTGTGTCTCCCTCTCTCTCTGCCCCTCCCCAGCTCAAGCTCGCACTCTGTCTCTGTCAAAAATAAATAAACTGGGGCGCCTGGGTGGCGCAGTCGGTTGAGCGTCCGACTTCAGCCAGGTCACGATCTCGCGGTCCGTGAGTTCGAGCCCCGTGTCAGGCTCTGGGCTGATGGCTCGGAGCCTGGAGCCTGTTTCCGATTCTGTGTCTCCCTCTCTCTCTGCCCCTCCCCCGTTCATGCTCTGTCTCTCTCTGTCCCAAAAATAAATAAACGTTGAAAAAAAAAATTAAAATAAATAAATAAATAAATAAACTTAAAAAAAAGAAATGCAGACTCTCAGACCCCACTCCAGACTTAATTGAGTCAGAACCTCCCTTTTAACAACGTCCCAGGTGATTTATGGGCTCATTAAAGTTGAGAAAGGAAAGTTCTGGTTCACCCCAGGCTAGACAGCCCTCAATCCCATCCCAAGAGATGTGCATTTATCTTGGCCTCACACCTCCCCAGGGGCCAGTCCCAGAATCCCCATCACCCCGGTCAGGGGTTCAGGGCCTGCCGTCATTCTCCCCCACATCTGACCTGTGCCCCTTCCTTTGATTTTCACGCAATTCCTAGTGTTGGAGAAGAGCACATCTGGGCCGGCTTATTATAACCTTTCCCATTTTTCTCCATGCCTCCCCCGCTCCCCACAGGCCTACATCCTGTTGGGACAGTTCCTTCTGATGCACAAGAATGAAGCCGAGTTTCAGAAGTGGCTCATTTGCTGTTGCGGCGCCACCGAGTATGAGGCCCAGGAGAGTTCTAACTGTCTGAAGGAGTGGTGTTCCTGCTTCCTGTGAACACACGTCCCCTTGCTCTGATGCCTGGGTAAACGACATGTTCTGTAATGATACCCAGGCTTGGGGTCATTATTTTTTGTTCTTTTTTGTTAGTTTTTACTTTAGAGAGAGAGCGCAAGTAGGGGACAGGGGCAGAGGGAGAGAGAGAATCCTAAGCAGGCTCCCTGTTCAACGCAGAGCCTGATGCGGGGCTCGATCCCACAACCCTGGGATCATGACCTGAGCCAAAATTGAGAGTTGATGCTCAACCAGCTGAGCCACCCAGGCGCCCTACTTTTGTTTTTAACTTTAAGGATACACAGTCATTATACCAAGTAGTACAAGAATATATAAAAGAGAACAAACGAAAGACAAGTGATCCTCAAATTGACCACCTAAAAACAATTGTCATTCACCTTACATGAATATCATGCCAAATATTTCAGCATATGAATTATTTTAGAATAGGTTGCTTTAAGTTTGAAGCCAGTGTATTGATTATCTATTGCTACATAGCAGAGGAACCCAAAGCATAGCAGCTTAAAACAAGCCATTTTATCTCACGCAGTTGTTTGGCTGGGTGTTTCTGTCTCTGGGTCTTCCATGAGGGTGAAAACCGTCAGCTGGGCTGCAGGCATCTGAGGGCTTGACTGGGGCTGGAGAATCTACTTCTAAGATGTTGTACTCATGTGGCTGTCAACTGGAGTCCTCAGTTGCTCTTTAAATAGGCTTCTCTATGGGGCTACTCATGGAGTGGCATCTAACTTCCTCCAAAGCAGCTGACCCAAGAGGGAGTAAGAGGGCAAGCAGGAAGTGCAATGCCTTTTATGACCTTGTCTCTGATTCACACTATGTCACTTCTGTCTTTTTCTATTTTTAGAAGCAAGTCATTAAGTCCTCAAGAGAAGAGAATTAAACTTTCTTGAAACAGCAACTAATATGGAGACATGTTTTTAAGAGCATTGTAGTCCGATTTCTGAGTTATAATTTATATTCAGGAAAACTTGCCCTTTTTAGGTGTGTAGTTCTGTGACTTTTGACAAATGCGTTGTCCCCAAACCACTACCAGAATCAAGATGGAGGGCACTTTCATCACCCCAAAGAGTTCCCTGGTACCTCCCCATAGTCATCCTGTGGCCCTCCCCAGCCCCTGCCAACAAATGATCTGGTTTTTGTCCTCATAGTTTTGACATTTCCAGAAAGCCAAATAAATGTAATCACATAATATGTACCTTTTGTGTGACTGGCTTCTTTCACTTGGAATAATTCAGTTGAGATGAGTCCATTAAACAGGCCTTTTAAATTCAAGAAAATGTCGGCAGGTGGTATTGGAGCCTGGCCCCATATGCTGTTGGCATTCTCTGTTCTAGTACAGTCCAGTAACTTACTTCAGTAAGCACCTGAGTACCCTTTGCCAGAGGGTATCTCTAGCTGCAGGAGTAGGGTCTACCCATGCACAGGGCAGGGAGGGAGTGCCAGGGAGTTAACACCCACTCATGGGTGGAAGTGGCAGTAAAATGCCTCAGCTTCCTTGCCCTTTGGATGGGACAGCTCTGAGGTGGTATCCCCCAGCTCCCCAGTGGGACTCAGCCAGTTGCTCACAGAGGCCCCCCGCCCTTTAACACCTCTGGCATTTGCTTTCTTTTCTTCCCTATATTGTTTTCCCACTCTACTGCCGGGGTTTCTTGGGATCACCCCTCATGAAATATTTAAATTTTAGTATCAGTCTTCTTCTGGAAGAACCCAACTTAAGACAAAAGTGCTAGAATTTAATTTTATTTGGACAGAAGAAAAAAATGGAACTGAAAGAATTCTTGAACCGCACTGCATTTTTTTCTTCATTACTAGACATCATCATTTCTACATCAATTTCTTCTGAGCATAAAGAATAATATGGGGGAAACAGTAACAGGGAGGTTAGTATCATTAAGTTTATTTTAAACTTTAATTTTCTATGTTAGATGGTGTGAATTCCCATTAAAAAAAGTAATAAAAGTAAAAAGAAATTAGCACTCTTATTTCTTCCCTCTCATTTTTAAAAATAGGTTTTAGTATTATTTTTAACTTGTCAAGGTCTATAGAATTTACATTCTTCCCATAAGCATAATCCCTGCAGTTGCTTAGTCTTAGTTGTATATTTAAGAGGTTATAAATCCTTGTTGGTATAATTATTTTAAGAATTATAACTTTTGGAGCACCTGGTTGGCTCAGTCAGTTAAGCATCCAACCCTTGACCTTGGCTCAGGTCATGATATCACAGTTTGTAAGATTGATGACCGCATCATGTTCTGTGCTGACAGCCTGCTTGGGGTTCTCTCTCTCCCTCTCTCTCTGTCCCTCCTCTGCTTGCTCTCTCTTGCTCTCTCTCTCTTTCAAAATAAAAATTAAAAAAAAAACTTTAAAAATCATAACTTTGTCACTCCTGAATTCTTTGTTCTGAAACATCTCTCTGTTGGTTGAGTTGGATGATTATATTAGTCAGAAGAGGTTAGATTATGCTGCTGTAACAAACAATCCCCCAAAGCTCAGTGATTTAGTCAACAAATCTTGATTATTCTTTTAGGCTTCATATCCAGTATATGCCATCACAAGGGCTCTGTCTGTTATAATCACTGTGAGAGTTAGGTAGATGGAGATTCTCTTTCAATACATGCTTCTATGAGTATCACAGCATCAGGAAGGTATCATGGTGGATTACACACTATTTCATATCCTCTACTCAGTGTGATCTATTCCACTTATGTTCACATTTCATTGGTCAAAACAAATCACATGGTCATACCTAACTCCAAAGGGTCATAGACTCTTCTGAACTCAGGAGCAGATTTGGTGACAGCACTAATCAAGACCACAGTCATCAGTTGGGTTCAATATTTTTTCGTGGGTGCCTCACAGATGTTACATTTCCTAAGTTCATAATATGATTGGGATATTTCCACTGAGGTCTGTTTAGCTCTTTCTAGCTCTGCTTCTCTAGCTGTCCCCAAGAAGAGGTCAAGAAGAATTCCAGGTGAGCCAGCTGGCTGGCCCAAAGACTTAACTCCATCTTGGAGTGCATGGGTGGTTCAGTTGGTTAAGTACCCAAGTCTTGATTTCAGCTCAGATCATGATCTTGGTTTGTGAGATCGAGTCCTGCACCAGGCTCTGCGCTGACATCATAGAGTCTGCTTGGGATTGTCTCTCTCCCTCTCTCTCTGCCCCTCCTCCCTCTCTCAAAAATAAATAAATAAATAAATAAATAAATAAACATTTAAATAAATATATAAATATCTTCTTCTTCTAAGACCTCAGGTTCTGACTATCCAGAGCCCTTCCCTTGCTCCCTCCTGCACAGCCCACCTTTGGGGTAATTCTCTACTAAAATAGTCATGGGATTTAGAAGTCACTCATTTTCTAAGACAAGAGCTGGGTGGCTCTAGGGAAAGGAAAATGGGAAGTAGTCTTGTCCTTCATTCTATTTTCACACACTTCCCATATTGCTGAAATTTGTCCCTTTAATCAGGTTGATGTCTGGTATCATGTAGGAGGATTAGGGAGCTGAGAAACCTGAGGAGATGGTCTTCCAAGACTAAGCAGCCTCTACAAAGGGACCCTAGCACAGATATTGAAATTCAGAGTAGTTGTTCTTTGTGTAATGTAACTGGAGGGACACCGAGGATGAACCCTGCTCCCCACAATTTTCTCTACAGCCATTCATTCCCTTGTGTTGATTTTAGTCTTTCTCACAGATAAAATTATTGCCTTCAATTCTTCACTTCTCTCTGCAATTTTCCACCTTTGTCAGATGATTTTACAGTCCCTCCCACTAGAGGCAAAGTAACTCCCAGACGCTCAGACTTGGCCATGTGACTTACTCTGGCCAATGGTATGAGTCTGGAATGACAGCATGCCAGTTCTGAGATTCACTGTGCATTTCCACGTGCTCTCGCATGCCTCTGTCAACACCAAGAGAAGAGCTATCTCCTTGGATAACTGCTGCCTGCATCCTAGAATGAACCCCAGTGAAGCTGATCTGAGCCCAACTTGCAGCAAGGACCTGAGGCCAGCCAGACCTGCAGCTTGATGCAAAGCTGCCCATCAGAACCCACCCTGGATCAGCCAACCCTCAGCCAACTCAAATGTGTGAGCAAAAATAAAGGATTGCTGTTCAAAGCCACTAATATTTGAGAAAGTTTGCTATGCAGAAGTATCTAACTGATACATTCCTTCCAGTCTAATGTGTCCTTACCCTGCCAAAGGGTGCTTTAGATAGAGTCCAGGGTGGGCAAAAGAATATTGCCTCTGAAGGCAGCCAGACATGGGTGCGAATTCCAGCTCTGCCAATCAGCACCTTATCCTGGGTGAGCTACTTAACCTCTCTGAGCCTTGGTTTCTTCATCTGTAAAATAAGGGCAGGAAGGCAATTACCTTGCTTCAAAGGCTGGATTAATTGAAATAGTGTAGGTTAGGTACATGGTTCCTAAGAGAAGCTCTGGCTCTGTTCTTAGGGTTCTCCTCTGAGCCTGATGTTCTGAGTGCTTGGTCATTATGATACTTGGGACAGAATTCATAGCTATGAGGTGGGAGGGAGCCCAGCTACCAGCTTATCTAATTCTGTTCCAGTAGACAAGTACAGGACACTATATACCATACACTCTTTAGGGACCACACACTCTTTAATGAGTGGGTAAGAAAGGACAAATCAGATTATTTCAGATTTTGACTGCAATCTTATAGGGTCACATCAGCCCACTGATCCCCAAAGGCATGTTCAAGGACACTCAAGAGAGGTGAGCATGCATGTATGTCCTCAGCCACGTCAAAGGCTCATCTTCTACTTGGCAGGACAGTTGTTCCAAAGATTTGGGAGAAGATTGGTACCTAAGAACATTTACCAATTATGATGGATTTGACCAGCATCTTAAACAGAAGCCAAACCACCTGCAAGGAAGGGGGGTCAGATATTGACTCTTGTCCCCAAATCTGTAGTCTGAGGGTATCTGTGAATCAATAAATGATTTCAGTTAGTATTTGCAGAGCGT